AGTAGATTTATCGTTTTTAATGATTTGAGAAAGTATATATATTTGGAAGATATTGCACGTTGATTCAGCTATTTTTTAGTCCTTGTTTAATATATAAAAGCCGGTTACAAAGAGCTTATTTTTTTGTCGTATTTTCTTTCTAGTTTTAACCGTAAAAATCTTATTCGGAGATATTAGAATACATATTTAGTCTTCCGACACGATTAGGGCCTATTCGTCGAAATGAAGAAAAGCGAGCACAACAAAACACAAAAACATATTCCGTTTTTATGGCTCTGTTGTAAAATCTTGGTTTAAAATTGATTTTAGCCTGCTGTCCGCCGCCGAAAAAATATTATGATGCTCTGAGAAAAAATATTTATTTTGGATCAATCTTAGTTCTTACGGAGTTTTATGAACAACCCATTAGAGCCATGCTTGTCAAAAATATCTTTCCAGTTCCCTGTTTACAGTCTTCATTATTCTATTATTTCGTATTAAAGTGTTTTGATCCATTATTTTGGCAAACTCTTAGAGTATTTCCTCTTGTTTATTAGACATTTCAGTGTTCATTTGTAGTTGGACGTCAAACATTCTACTCAAAATGAAAACGCGTCAATGGTTTTGCGAGACATATTCCGCAAATCATTTGGACGCTCGCCAAAAAACAGCACACGTCACATCTATTCTTGGTTTTCACCTACGTCATCATGAATTTCAAAAGCGTAAATTCGCATTATAATGAAATAAAAGTCTTATATTCTTGTAAAGCGTTCCAAACTACATATACTGGTTAAATTTTAAGGCTGTAAAGCATTTCGTTGCGGAACTATAGGCGAGTAAACATGACGCAATTTTTGGTTAAAATGTATGGAGCGGCCATCTTGGTGTTCCAAGTTGGTACACCATCATGGCGGACGAAATTCTAAAGGCTTAAAATGATGGAATATTTAATATGTTTGACTATTTTTCACTTACACATACTTTAAATAGATATTTTAAACGTGTCTAAGGGAAAATCTTTCAACTAAAGTAAATTATTTTAATATTTTCATCGCTATTTAGAAAGACGTGACGGTATTGCGTGACACAAACTCAACCTTCATAACTCGGGAACCAAACATCGAAATGACTCGAGATTTTTTCTTGTGTCTTATAACACTGACTTCTAAAACATACTTGAGAAATGTCTTTATACGATCTATAGTTTAGATTTTGATGTTTTGATGACGTCATGTGAAAACCAGCAATACTAAATAAATACCATCAATTGAATTTCTTTTGCCCTTCTTATTACTTTCCACGCGTCTTTAGCCATTCTAATCTCATCTCCAAGGACATATCCTTGAAAAAGCTAAATCCGAAATAGGAAGTTCAACGTAAGATTCATATCTGGTCAAAAGTAAAACAGGGCTGAGAAACATGCATTAAATCATTATCCTCGAGGCTATAGAAAGATGGCCACTTTTATATAATTAGTTTAGGAAAAGTGAATCTTCTATGATAGACAATCAGTCCTTCAGAACTAAAAGGTCTTCCCTTTGCCAATTACCTACGAAGGAAAAATTTTAAACCCTAAAAAAATGCATTGTAAGCTTGATGCATTTTCGACTAAGCGTGGATCAAGACTATAGATTATTTAAACTATGATTTCAAAAACAAACTTATGTCCTTAAATAAATGAATAATCCCGTTATTTTTATAAGAGGGATGATTTTGTAGTAGCTTCTTTGCTAGCAAACCTATAAGCCCTCAATCAGATTTTCAATCATATATTTTAGTTAACCAACTCTTAGATTATGCTATGCTGCACGAGTTAAAAATCCCCCGCCCAAAACCAGAAAATTATTGCGAATTATTTCTGCGTTTGACTACAAAGCCAAAGCTTTTAAGCTTTAAAAACATTTTTGTTTGTTTGTCTGTTTGTTATTTATTTATTTATTTAATTTTTTTTTTTTTAAGATTGCAAATTCGCCTAAAACTATCGAGGAAAAGTATAGTTTTTTGAGATAAATATAACGCAAAATTATTTATTACTTCAAATTATCCTCCGTCATCTCGTTCATCAATACTTACAAATACATTTTCAACTCATTCAACTGCACAACTTCTTCAAGATACCACACTAATTTTGAAAGATTGGGAGCAGACATCTCTAGCTACATTATTTTAAAAATAAACCACGTTCGATTTCTTAAAAGTCAGACTTGACTGCAAGACTACATGGTACTTCATGTATCCATAGTTAATATTAACTATGATGTATCATACAAACACGTGGATCACCAAATACATTTATTGGTAGGAATATAAAAATGTTCTATTCTACGACGTTTATCCCTTTCGGCAATAAATAGAAAGACTCAGGTGGAAACCTGGCCAAAAAACTTGATAATTATTTTTCTTTATTAATTAAAACGTGCTCAGCAAAATATGACGTTGCTAGGACACGGTTTATGTCAATGTTGATCAAGAGACTGAGAGAATAATATAAGTATTTGTAGATTGGTGGCTTGGATACAAATAAACTTTGTATAGCTGGAAATATACGTTGGTTAACTGAAAAAATATTTAGTCACCATGGTAATTCATAAGGTTTGATGATTATTCTAAAATCACTAAAAAAGTAAAAGAAAAACATTATGTGACGTGTTGCTGCTTTGCGGACGTTGTGGTAAATGGAGATGTAGCTAGGTGTAGTTTTTGCTCTGGCTGGCATTGTTTTTGCTTTTGCAGTCTCTACTGTTTTTCGGCGTTATTTTGATTATTATCATTTTTTTTTTTATCGTGCGGTTTTTCCTTAAATGTAAATGTTTGCTGTGTGGTTTATGCTCTTGAGTGCTGTTATGGTTGTTCAGTGTATTGTCGTTTCACTAATGGTGTTCAGTGTTCTTGCTTTGGTAGTTGTTGTCGTTCTGATAGTGATTGTTCAGTGTTCTTGCTGTAGTATAGTTGTTGTAGAGTAGTTTTGTGTTCTTGCGGTAGTAGTTGTTGTGCTAGTAGTGGTTGTTCAGTGTTCTTGCTGGTGTAGTTGTCGTGAGGGTTGTTGAGTGTTTTTGCTGTAGTCATTGTCGTTCTGGTAGTGGTTATTTATTATGATTGTTCAGAGTTGTTGCTGTGGTTATTGTTCAATGATGTCGTTCTACGCTGACTTTTCCATCTACTTTGCATAATTTTCATACACTAAGTTGTTCATTTACAAGTGAGATGGGAAATATCATTGCATACACTAGAAATAATAGCCCCAAGCGCCTTACCTATTTTTTCACTCAACTATATGAAACACTAATTCCTCAATCTTAGAGTAATTTAGGTTAAAATGTTTGACAATATTTTACGACTCTTCTCCCCTTCTTAATATTATGCTTTTTACATATGCGCTAGGAAACTTTCCGGCATTTTTGAAACTAAAGAGTAATTTGTTTTAGAAAATGACATATGATCTTGTTAAATACTGACGCGATATTTCTCTGTTTAAAACTCTCATTTTGATATCAGATTGAATGTGGATAATTAACTCGCTGAAAAAACCCACTCATTACTTCATAATTTTCCGATCATTCCGCCATGACCGGCTTCAGTTTTCTTTTCCAGCAGAAACCAATACATGAGGAATTTAAGTCAGATATATTGATTTCTGATCAAGCTCAGCATGATAGTATGAAACTAAAGAACGAAAGTAAATGAAACGGTTAAAGTGATAGGAAGGAAAGACAAAATTCAATTGTATATCAACGGCTTTTACCGATCCAAATCTGTATTCCTTTTGGCTATATTCTTCAGTTTTTAAACACTATAATACGGTATTTTGCCTCATCGCGTCTTGGCGTCGCATGAACTGCTTGGTGTATTGGCGTAAAGGGGGCAAATAAACGTACTGATGTCTTCTTCATTTGACCATCAAACTAGAGAGCCGTCTTTAGCGGCTACCTGAAGTGCGTCATTTTGTGTTTTCACGCAGATGGTGTTTACAGTCAAAAAAATTGGTGACATCGACAGCCTGACGGCAACTCTCCCGTTGTTTATAATATACAGATACTATCATGTATTGTTTTGTCTTTTCGGTGTGATCCTCAAGGTAATTCCTGTGCAAGCCTATTTATAAAATCAAGCTAAGGAGTTCCACTTTTCTCGAAGATCTTAATCACTGACTCCAGTGTTGTTGTTTTTTTTTTGCGTTCGTTCGAAGATGGACTCGAGAACAAACCGGAATTTCTTGAAGAATTGTTTTGAAAATATAATAATATTTTCGTATTTGAATGCGCCGGAGAAGCACCGAGTTCTTCAGATTTTTTTAAATACTTCCCATCTTGCAGCTGTATTGACGCTTTCTCCTAACGGTGTCAGAAAAAGCCTTACGCTGCATAGATCATTAAAACAAACTGGAGGCTTTTTGTTCTGCTCAGCACCCGAGTGTTAAAGAGCCGGTCAGAAATCATGGTCAAAATTTGCATGGGGGAAAATTAGCTTGAGTGAAGGCAATGCTTTCAGCGCACTTTTAGCCCAAGGCAGCCCTATGCTTCGTATACTTTACACCGTCATGTAAGACACTAAAATACGTACCACAAATCTATATCTATCTACTTACTTGATGTACAAGATTTCAGTGAGATTGGCCAATCGAAATGTCAATTAAAGTAGAATCGTGGAGGCGATATTATAAATTAAGCCTTATCGAAACTGAGATTTTTTTAAAAAGTCGAGATTATAGTTTTTTTAATTCAACTCCTCCTTGACCTCCTTACTCTTGTTGTATTTCATTGATTCCTACCTTCGAGAGGTTTTTCGTCGATCAGTACGTATATGACACCTAGTTGCTATGCCCATCAAGACAAATTTAGGTCAAGAAAACAGCCAATCGGCGAACGTCAGGTTTTCGGAATGGTAATTTACAATCGATGCCGCCTCAGAGCGTAAATCAATTGAGCACCGGATTTGTACGGAATTAGGGAATCCATCTAACTGTGCTAGCTATCAATGGACAAATATATCACATTAGTGAATGGCAGGCTCTTCAGATGACATGAAAACTAAGCCGACGCATTTAAGCCGGGCGTAGTCAAAGTTGGCTGGAGTCGAACTCACTGTTGGCCGTCCTCCAGTGTCAAATCTTGTTTTGGCTCATGCAGTTCAGCTGAATTCTAGTCCGCCAAACTGAACCAAACAGTCATCGGTTATACTAACAGCTGGTTGGCATGACTTCGATACCACAAGAAATGCAAAACAATTCTTCCATTCCCAAGAACTTTACGGCTTCATATGTGATTTCAGACTGTGAAGCTGGTTTACAAGCCGCAGTTCTCATCCTCATCTTAATTGTAGCCAGCGTGGGAAACGGCTTCGTTGGCTTCTGTGTATTTACACACCAAAACCTACAAGTTCCTACAAATTATTTTCTCGTTAGCTTAGCCACTGCAGATTTTCTTTTTGCGATACTAGCGCTACCGTTCCGTATCTACGATGTACTGGAAAAGTACAAATGGGAATTGGGCCTCGCTGCCTGCCGCTTCTGGGTCTGGCTTGATCTACTTTTCTGTTCTGCATCCATCGCAAGCTTGGCTGCCATCAGCGTCGATCGATACTTGAAAATTTCCTCACCTCTGACTTACAACTCAAGGATGACACGAAACCGGGTCCGCTTTACTTTGGCTTTGCTGTGGATGTATTCTGCAATACTCGCAAGTTTGTTGCTTGTTGAATGGTCGCCTGATCCAGCTGACATAGCGAGGGGTACAATTGTTGAAAATGGAGTATGCCGCAGCGATGATAAGATATTTCTGACCATCATCTCAGTACTTGGGTTCTTCGCGCCGCTGACGATAATGTTACTCATGTATTTCTTCGTCTTCAAAGTTGCAGTGATTCAAGCTACGCGCGTGGCACGACAACAACAATCCTTGAGAGGACTGTCGAAAAAATCTCGAAAGCGACGAACGAAATCCTCAATCGCTCTCCTTGAAGTCAAGGCCACTAAGACCCTGATAATTCTACTAAGTGTGTTCTGTATATGCTGGTGTCCGTATTTCATTATTTCATTGATAAGCTTATATAGAATAGAATTGATTTATCAATTGCCAGGTTGGTTCACGAAGACACTTAGGATTTTGTTCGTCAACTTTCTTCCTAACGTAAATGCTGCACTGGACCCTATTGTTTACACGACCAACAACCACCAGTTCAGGACGGTGATCAGACGAATGGTGCGCAAGCAAAGAGAGAGAGCTAGAGGGATTGTTTCATCGGTTTATTCTGAGGGACTCTACACTATGAGTGAGTCTAGGGGACGCAGGAGTTCCTCGCTACGAACCAAAAGCACTTCAGCTGTGAAGAACTCTTTGACCCCTTTACCTCTTCTCAACCCTAACCATAGATAGGTGCTTCAAGAGTGACTCTAAAAACCGCGCAGGAATCAGAGAAAACGCGCTGAATAACACGCGAGTGAATTTTCATTATACCAATTGGCCTTAATCAATTCGACTTCTAGTTTATCATTCCAATAAGTTTTTAAAATCGTTTCGATATGTTTTGCGAAGGCGATCGAATCGTTAATTTTTGACGGTAAGAGATGTTTTTTTTTCCAAAAATATTTTGGTTCTAAAAGAAATACACCAACTCAGGCCTTGAGGGTAAAATTATTTTCTTCTCAACATAGAATTTTGTTTTGCTATTGGTTTCAACGTGAAATGATTGATTTATTGATCAGAAACTGAGCTTACAAATAATTTTTCACCACGTTTAAACCTTCTCAAAAACATTGCCCACAATATGAAACACTAAGGTTTGCCTTACGTAGTTTACAAGTGTTATGACATTTACCTCGAGAAACCTGTCAGAGAATTTGTCACGTTACGATTCAAAATCCAAATACTTAAATCATTTAAGGTGAAAAATACTTGATTGTGACGCCTTTCATTGGCGCTTTGGAGTCTGAGGAAACGACGTACGCTGCTTAACCAAGCGCCTGTTACGTTCTCGCTGTATAAGCCAAGCTAATACGCGAGCAGCCGGGATTACATGTAATCCAAGTGTATATTACACGACTTGAGCCGATGGTAAAAGACCATTCAAAAACACGGCCTGAGGACGTCTCAAGATATCCCTGATAAAGCTCACGGCCATATTGGAGCTGAAACTGAGCAAATGCATGGCAAATTCAAATTCCTTCGCTACAGAGATGAAAAACAGGCGCTTCGGAATTGCCGAGCTCTGAAGAACATTGTGGTTTTGCCCATTAACTCCTTGTTAGAAAAGCAAACATACCACACACCTTCTTAGCCAAACCACTTTTATTTCGCTACTATTGATATTGTATAGTTTCAAGAAGATTAACTTAATCCGTCTATTACGTAGATATTCTGTAAGGGGATTCCAAATGTTGGCGAAGCCAATCCTAGTATTGCTACAAATCAGCCAAAATAAGTGACCATCTTATATTGGCGCGCTTTTGAGCAAAATCATCAGCATAAGCCAAAATTATAGAGTATTATTATAAACTTCTACTGATACAATATTCTTGTATCGGTTAGATAGAATGGGATCATCATTATCACGCTGCCGATGTCTTTGTTTGTCGGCAATTTTTTAAGAACAAACGTGGAGCTCAAACAAAGTCTGGATCCCACATTTTCATTAGTTTTTGATTTAGCCAACCAAACCGAAAAGAAAAAAAAGTAAATAAGTGTATATTGACCCAGTCCGAATTCAAAATCTTCTTCTTTTTTCTTCTTTTCTTATACTTTGCCGCGTTTTTTTTTGGCTTTTTTTTTTTTTTTTTTTTTGTTCCCGGAAGCGAGAGCTCCCGGAAACTGTTGATTTCACGATGTACATTGTAATAATTTATCTATTTCTCTTTTTTACGAGTTTCGACCTACGCTGTATCAAACAGATCCCTTTTTAATTTAGTATTTTTTTCTTAAGCAAACACGACGATATTGCTTTATTGGTAGTGATTCGCAAGCCTTAGAGAAAACGCCAATTACTTATGCCAACCATAAGTTATCAGTCTTGTGAAACCGTCTGAATATTGACCGAAGTCAAATTATTTTACTCGCTTTTTGACAGCGACGCGTAGAAAAAAGATATCCAGTGCTATCTATAGAACAAAGATATATAAAAACTACGAGATATAATGTCATTGCTAATCCATATTGACGATTTGCTTCGACACATTATGCAAATCCTTAAATATAAATTACTTTTATCTCCAAATCTGTACATCTATCTCAGTAAAGACGTCAGCTTCTTCTTTACTCTTTCGAGTTGTTTCCGATCTCATTTAGTAAGGTGAATGTTCGTTAACCGAAGTAGGAAAATTTTCCCTAAATGATAAAAAAAACTTGGCCCTTAATTAAAATTAATTAATAAACTATTCCATACGTTTTTGTTAAAAATATATAGATAAGAAGTCTTAATTTTTTCCCATATGTTTGTAATTATCATTTGAGTCTTCGTAGATGATGTAACACTTTATTCATTTTTTTCGTTAAGAGTGTGATTCTAAGTGTTAGCAATTAATCGTTTGCCTTTCTGGAACCCACTACTCTCTTTACGTTCTAAAATTAGTGGATAAAATGTCAGCAAGGTACTTGGGATGAGTGATGACCTCTATCTGTTTCTCTGTTCTTTGAAATATTGTCATATAGGATTGTACGAAAGAGATCCCACTACTTATTGTATTAATTGGTCTACAGTGAATATCAAGATAGATCATAGTATTAAACTATCTGTATAGCTTGAATTACTGTTGTTGTTTCGTTCATTACCAAGATTAACATTGCCCGGACTTTGAAAACTGTATCCCAAAATAGAGAAAGAAAAAGTAAAAGATATAGGAAAGAAAATAGCGAAGAGAAGAGAAGAAAAGCGATGAAAGGAAGACAAGGCAATGTAAGAAAGCTAAAAAATGAAATAAAAAAGTCGAAAAGAAAAGCGATGAAAGGAAGACAAGGGAAGATAACAAAGCTAACAAATGGAACAAAAAAGTCGATGAAAAGAGGCACAAGTCACTCGTGTCTCGTTTCGTCCACTTTTTAAATTTTATTTTCAGTGAAAGAAAAAGAAACAGAGAAAACAGTCCAAGAAAACTGGAGGAAAACTTAGAAGTTGAAGATTCGAAATTGTAGACAGTAACTACGCGACGTAAAAAGCGGAGGAGGAGAAGAAGGTACCGATGCACTTGATTGCTAAGTGTTTGCTAAAGGAGAAAATTTGAAGACCCCTAACAACAATGACAGTGAATTATCAGGGATGCCGCAAGCTTCAGCTGATAATTGTTAGAACGCAGCTAAGTCGGTAGATGTAATAGAGAACTGGTGATAATAATCCTGATGGTAATACATATGAAGCCAAGATGTGAAGAGGCGCTGAAAATGAGGAGATGAATGGGAAAGATAAACCATGTTGTCTGGCTCGTGTACACCTATTTCAAAAAACGTTGTCGGTCAGGGATCTGAGATGGACGATCTGAGACTAAACGAAGTATTTGTGTTCTTATCAGTGTGTTCTGGCTAAAATACGAAAAATTACATACCTAACTCAAAGGTCTTGCTTCATATTCCAATGTCAAAGGAGACTACGTTCAATTGTTCTGCATTGAATATGTTAAATTTTGCAGAGTATTACTCAGTCTCAGATTTCAGATCTTTTTTTGATTTCAACAATTAAAAATAGGTTTATAAGATGTAAAAGGATAATATATGCCGTTCGTATTCCCAACTTATTCAAACGTAGATTCATCTATCTATGTATTCATTCTTTTTATACCATTCTTTTCGTTCTTTCGTTCATTCGTTCGTTCAGCTCATTCATTCATCCATCCATTCACCTTTCTCTCTTTCATTAATTCTTTCTATTGTCTTTCTATTGTTTTGTTTCATTTTCTCTTCCCTCTTCTGTTTTTTCTTTCTATCATTCAATTTTCCGTCTTAATTTCTCTTCTCGTCTTTCACTTCTTCTTTCTTTATTTCTATACTTTTATTTACTTTCGACATTAGAATTTCCCCAGTATTTTTTAAAGCCTTTATTATTATGCGCCATATGTTAAGAGAAGGTTTCCAAATAAACCTACCAGACTGATTAGAATCGTATCACACTGCGCGATAATGAGTCTCAGATTAACGCCTAACATCGATCCTAAAAAGCCCCAAAATTTTTAACACTGTAATTCTGCCTGGGGCCTTTTAATAGCTTTCTTTTCATGCAAGCAATCCCGCAAGGACGGACACCTAAATTATGGATTTTTAAAACAAATAGCTGATGAAAAACAAGCGCCTTTCTTACTCGGCTTTATATTAATCGTAATAATTTGTTTTAATAGTACAACAAACCATTTATAAAATATTAGACTTTCTCTGCATTAATATCCGCATTTCGTGTTTTAAATTCGCTGGGTAGCTATAATACAAATGCTATGTTTTCAGCAGTTGGTAAAAAAATTGAAATTATTTTCAGTTTAAGAATTCCTATGGCCAACCTTCCTTGTTTAGTTTGAGATTTTTAGTTTGAATTTTTTCAAAAACTATTCTGATTCTGACATCCCTTCGGCCATCCTTTTTTCATACTTTCATCCATTTTTGTTGTTGTTGGGTATCGCCTTCAATCTTGTTTCACTTGTTGATTATGAGACGTTTTGTGAAAATTCGTATAAAAATTCCATAAGAAATAACTTAAATAAGTAGGGAAAAAAGGAAGAATGGAAGTGACAAAAAAGAAGAGACATAAGAAAAAAAACTTTTTGTGAAAACCAAAACAGGTTGTCTATATCCTCTCAGTAATTGCCATCAAGTTAATAGGTTTTCGTGTCAGTAGGCGTGCCGTGACAAAAGTAAAGATTTCTGCATCAGGAAAAACCGCCTCAGTCTCTCTCATGGATACTATTTTTCATTCAATCCTTAAATTTATCTAGCACCTTGGTTCAATCCGCTCGTTAAATTCTTTCTAATTTTTTGAATCACTATATCAAAATTTGCCAATAAGTTGGGATCATGCCAATTCGACCTTTCGAGATGATGTGTCTTCCATTAATGATGATAATGCAGTTTGAAATAGGTCATTAAGCCATGAAACACTCAGATAAAAGCAAAATTAATCTATTCCCAGAGGCGTGTTCGAGTCAAACAAGGTCAGATTATTGGTAATGCTCGACCAAATCTTATATGAAGGCTTACGTTGTCTTCAGTGGTGATCAATCTTGGATTATATCACTAAGAATATTGCATGAGATCATTTGGAAAAGCGCCATCCAAACTATTAAAAAGACCTTCTCAATTCCATATGATAATATGGCGAGGTTATTTTAGTTAAACAAAAGGGGATTTTATAGTATCTCTAACTATAGAAAGCCGACTGTTAAGTGAATGAAAAGCACCGCTCAGAAGACTCACGCTTTTTCACAAATAATGATGTTTCCTGCGCTTTCAGATAAAACAAACATTTACCTTAGTTCCAATTATATCTGAAGTATGTTTGGAGTTTATATTTCTTTATGTATATATGTTTTTATATGTATCTTTTCGAATAAAATGTCGGTGAAATGAAATGACCTTGGAATTTGGAAATAACCTAGAATCAACAACACCAATTTGGCATTTACAAAGCTGAGCTCCGTAAAATTTCCGTCATGTATTATCGCCACATTGAACGAGTAATCTTGTTTAAATTTACTAAATAACATTCGAGAAGCGGAGGCCAATGGTTTGAGACGACGTGCACGTGGTTTTCGGTGTTGATTTAAACTTTAATCTTTCAGGCCATACATAAAATGCTAGGAAGGAGAAGATTTTAACCGACCACCCACCCACCCACCCCTTGGTTTTGGGTTTCTTAATTCTGACCCCTTACCATCATGGACGCTGAATTGATGGAGACTCATTCATTCATTTGTTCGCATAATTCGCCGTAAAGCTCTCATTTATTTATTCATTGACGACTCATTCATATAATTTATCCATCCATCCATCCATCCATCCATCCATCCATCCATCCATCCATCCATCCATTATTAGTAATTCGGTTTGTAGATGTTCTTCAGTCTTCGTTCAAATCATTTATTTTATTCTTAAAATTACAGACTTCCTCAATCATTCATTCATTTATTTTTTCTTTCGTTCATTCGTTTTTATTGTTCGTATGTTTGTTTCAAATGTATTCGTTCGTTATAGCTAAATTCATTCATTTCTTCCATCTATTTATCTTTTTCATTAACATAATGCGAGACACGTCTGTCGTTAGCGAAGGTCACTGATCCTTTTCAAAATGATGTTTGTTTTGGGTTCCTAAAAAGGATCAAAAGACAGTTTGATCCACCACAGCCCACTAATCGGCTAAAAATCCTAAAATCATCAAACAATGTAAATGTAATTTTAATTAGAGTCGAATCATTTTTTTAGCAGATTTCATTGATATGGTCAAGAGAAAAATCACGAAAATTGGTTGTCAGATGGTTAGGAAAAGGTTTCTCGTCGTCCGCAGGGGCTCGCGTTCCTTGTTTTTATTTGCACCAAGAAACGAAGTGTTTGGTCCAGGTTAATTGGAACTTGCTTGCTTTTCTAGTTTTTATGATCAGCTTTCTATTGTTTTATTTACCAATCAGGAAAAATTGGAAATGCTTTGTTTTATCGCGGAGTCCAAAGGATTAACCCTGGAGGTTCTCGAAGGTTAAACACAAAGGGCCACAAAAGTATAAATT